TTAAAATTAATTAAATATATTATTTATTTTTTGTATTTTTTAAACATTTTTAAACTTTAGCTAAGCTAATACACAACAAAAATTGCATAAGATGTTGTATTATTTATTGAATTTATTAGACTGTTCGATTGACCTTGGCTAAATATCTTTTAGCATAATCGGATCCTAAACATGTATTCCTTTGTCATTGAAGACATTTATGTAATTTTGCAACTTAACATTTGTTTACTATTAAAGTGATTTCAATTATCCCATAATAATAAAAAAATAAAAAAAAAGTGATTTCAATTATATTGCCTTTTGAGTTATTTCATTTTTTTAAAAAATATTTCATCAATATTTTAAAATTGAAACTAAAAGGCAAGCTATAATTTTATAAGGTCAAAATTACAATAATTATACATTGCAATAATTATGCAACCACTATAATAAGATCAGTCATATTGAGAAAGTTGAGATACACATAGTACATTTTTTTTTACCAAATATGCAAATGTATTCAAGTGAATATGCAAATTATATTTTTGGCTAGTAAATGTAGAATTGAAAAAAAAAACCCCAACAACAACAACATATTTTTTTCTAAAAAATCAGTGTAATAAAAAACTGATTGAAATTATATAAATAAATGATTCTATGAATATTCAAATACGTTAAATACAATTATATATGCTTAAAAAGTATAACATATAATTATTTATAACAGTACAAGTATATTTCAATTTATACGCTAATACGTGGTAAGAATATCCAATTAACATAATTATGAGATTTTAACACAATTTTGTAGGGATTGACATTTTTTTTTGAAAATATTTTAAGTATAGATAAATGAAGATAAAATTTATCAATAAAAAAAATCCTTAATTACGCCTAACTTCCCTCAAAAAAAAAAAAAAAAATCCCTCAATTTCTCAATTTACGCCTAACTAACTACATTTTTTTCCTTTTCTATCTAATTTCCGTTTTTTATTTTATTTTAATTTTTTTTATTTTAGAGATTTAAAGTCCTTCATCAATGGTGATTATGATTAAAAACAACCCATTAAGTACAGTTTTAGACTAATGATTATTGTACATGAACATGATACATGAGTTTTAAATTGCCTTTCTTTTATAAGTTACATTCAAATTAATTATCCTGTGAGAATTGATTTAAATGAACTAACTAATTTGATTTTCAATGATTTAAAAATTTAGGCATGCATAGTTGTGATAATTTGACGTTGCTTTTACAAGTTTTTCATAGATTTTGGTAATTTAATTACCGGATTTATTGTTGAAGGATGAAGGTAAATAATGAAATAAAAAATGGAGGTTCAATGTTAATGTTGACAATTGAGGTTCAATGTTAATGTTGACAATGGAGGTCAATAATAGAGATGAATCACGATAGTAATTAATAATGTTAAAAAAAAAAAATTAAAAAAATCAATTTTAACTAAAAATAAATAAATAATGTGTGTAAAAAAAAAAAAAAAACAATAACCAAACAATCCCTTGTTGACTGTGTAACATATGTGTTGAATTGGACGGCTGGGATTAGACCAATAATGTATCAACAGTTTAGATTTAAATTATTATCGTAGTCGACCATAGTCATCCATAGTCGCCCGTAGTCAACGACTACGCTAGAATTTTTATTATCACTAGATACTGAAACTCTTTACATTCGAAAAAATTCTTATCATCAAACAATCATTAAACCTATGAACAAACACTTAAGGAAATTAACATTCTAAACTAAGAAAAAACCTGGGGTTTTTATTTGTACCTTCAACTATTGTTTTCTTCTGACATTACGAAAAATCTACTCACTAAAAATGCTGCACACTGTACTAAACCTCCATTCCCCTTTCACTGGATCATAGGAGACAAAACTGTATATAACCTGAACAATTTCAAGAGAATTACTGGCGCGCTACCGCCACGTGTTCAAACGTTAAGGCTATTTCAGAAATTAGCAGCGGAAAACTTAAAACAGTTATAAATAAACCTCAAAATCAAAGGATTAAATCAAAATAAATATTACAAGTTGGAACCATTAAGGCCCTTTATCAAAACCCAACAAAAAGTAGTAAGTAAATAAATCCAGTGTTCGAACAAATTCAAACCAAAAGAAATAGTGTCAAATAAAAATCGAGTTAAAATGAACTCAACTTGCGAAAGACATAAACTGCAGTCAACCAACTCTCTACTCAAAATCCCACAACCCTGATGAATGATGCATGTGTAAGAAACTGTGGTTATTCTGCTCTCCAATATTACAAGTGTAAAAATTGGATCGTCACAGGGAAAGGCGAAGGCCATGACCAAAGAAGGACACACACAAAAGCACGCAATCAGCAAATCTGAGTACATACAAGCTGCGAAATAATTTAAGAAATGCCAAACATGCTACTAATAATCAAACATATGCATCATTAAATAATAAACTCAACATATGACTCAAATATCCAATTTATTAAGACTTCACTAGTTAATAGTAGCTAACTCATTTCAATTTACTCATTGGATTTAGCAATAGACAAGGTTGTCCAATCCATGTCCCATTTGGAACATCAATAAAGAAAAACGCCATGCCTCCTTTCAGAAACATCAATAAACATCCAACAACCACGGGCACGACTCCGTGACCGTAGTTAGTATGAGATCTCACCTAACTCCTAGTTTTAAGAAAAATATTTGAAATAAGAGACTCGTAGATCAGACGGCCTCGAGAAAAGTCCACGGCTAATACCCCATGTACCCCAACCCCTGATTGTCATTACTCCAGATGTGCAGCAATCCAGAGTTTTATTGCTCATCCATCTTGCACTTTACGTGATTTACTGGTTTAAACTTGGTGATGACTCATATGCATAATAATACAAACATTCCAAACACAATTAAATCAAGCAAGGCAAGTTTCCGATTTCAATTCTTGATTTATTAGTGACAAAACAACATTTATTATTTATTCCTTTACTACCTTGGTGTAGAAACACCTTGAGTGCATAAGGCACCCCAAATTCTTAACCTTATCTTATAAGACTTGAATCTTTCCTTTACTCATCCTACTTCATTAATCATGAATGAGTAATAAATAAATCATTTCACCAATCACATACCTTTGCCTCTAAGCGCACCTTGCATAATTAGAGCATAACCAATAATTGCAATAAGGAATAGTGCACATCAAATGAAATTCACAGTGTATAACCAAACAATTTAACCCAGTCATCCCTATACATGATACTAAGTTCTCGGTCCGTTCTTAAATATGCACCTAAAAGCAAGGTTTTGTAACTTGTATGTACCTTGAGTAAACAATTCGATTGGCCACTTTAGAAACTAGAAGTCGCTTTCTACAAAGTCCTCTCCTAAAGCAAACAATGAGAAATAAATCATCAAGCCATTAAATTTACAGCAATACTAAAGCATTTTAAAACCTCTCAAACCATTAAAATAAAGCCTTTAAATTGTTCCCATTAGTCAAAATTAGTAGTACAACATCCCAACTACAAGTTTATGTGTTAAAATTATGAAAATAGTGTATAATACAAAATTACAGCAAGTTTATCTTAATAATACATGCTGAAAATTCGTTTTATCATTAGTTTTTGTAATTCAAATAATTTATACTTAGAATATTGCATAAATATTTGTTTAAATCATATAGAAGCATTCTAAAACCTTATTTTTGGCTCAAAACTAATAAATATCAGATTATATCAAATCTGAAAATTAATTTAAATTATAAATTTCAAACCTTTAAAGATTTACATTAACAATTCAATGATTAGAATAGTGTATTACACCTTAAACCTTAAAACCCTTCAAATAAACAACATAAAACTCAAATTTTACAATATATAAAATCTGAAAATTGATTACAACCAAAATAATCATACTTTGACATAATTTAAACATAGAATAATTAAGTAACTTGCTTAGTACGTTATTAAGCCTTAAAACATGAAAAATCAACACTTTAAACCCTAAATTCAGACATACCCAAATCTGAAAATTAATATAATAATTTAAATATACTAAAACCCATAAATTTATAATCTTTTATAAACTAGGTACATAATCAAACCATAATAATGTAATTTAGAACAAAGTTTTTAATTAAAGCTTGAATCTTTAGACATTCCAATTAATATTATAAAGCAATAAAAAAAATAAAGGAAAAGGGGAAGAGAGGTGGCGAACTGCGGTGGTCGGCAGCCGGTGAGGGTGGCGGTGCAGGTGGCGGCTAGGCGGCGGTGTCAGCTTCGAGAATATTTTTTTTTTGTTCTGCTGGAATCGTGAAGAGGGAGGAAGAAGAAAGTGAGGTTTCTTTTTTTCTTTTTCTGAACTGCTATTCGTCGCTTCCATTTTACCGGGTAACGCTCCCTTTTTGACTTGAATGGACAACTATTCCCTTTATGCAATTTGTGTTATAAAAAAGACCTTGTTCCCCATTTGGACACATTACATGAAACGGTCCCCTCACATTACGACCTTGCTATCCCGAGCCTCCCAAAATTGGTCCCCACGACCTTAAAACCAAATAATTAATCGTGAAATTTTTCGACGGGTCTTGGGTCATGGACGGCGAGTGGACATTCGTACGCCGGAGAATGCGTCGGAACAATCTGTAAGTTTTTTATTTTCTGCAAATAGGACATCCGCCTAAAATATCTGGATGTCCTAGGTACATCTGCCTAAAATTTCCGGATGTACCATGGAACATCCGGAAATTTCAAGCGAAAGTAGGGATCCGCCTGAAAAATCCGGATCTTCCATGATACGCGCCCATATCTACTACGAATACCTTAGTTTCTCGACGCTTTTGCCTCGACGCTGAGCATAAGGTGTCAGCATAAAATTTAAGGTTCCGTTTTTTTTGCGACGCTTTTCTAAGACGAAATTGTGTCTGGTCGGTGAAAAGCGTCGATAAATCATATGCACGTGACTAAATAGCAGCCTGATGGTCCTGATAGTTCAGATTAGAAGTTTATGAGTAATTTTTATAAAGCAGGGTTATAAAAAAATACGCAATAAAAAATTAAAACCTCTCGCTCCCACTCGCCGCCATAGATCTAGCTCCCAAAACCCAACTTCTGTGCTCCGTATCATCCATCATAATCTTCAGTTCTCAAACAATCTCATCTCTTAATGGCCCTTGAATTTTAGAGATTTTGCTTTTAAAATGTGGAAAATTATTCCTTGTTGTTTTTCTCAATTCCTGGTAATGTTCTCATAAATTTCCTTGCTGTTATGCAGATTTATTGTTCAAATTAGGTTTTTATATTGATTTATTGTGGTGAAATTGTCTTCAATTATCAGTTATTGTATATATTCGGTCATTATTAGTATCAAATCAAAGGCTGGATTGATTAATTCAATTGTTATGTTGGTGTCGATTATTTTTCTATGTTTCGCACTGCCGCCACCCTCACCTCCCGCACTCGCACCCGCACCAGCATCAACGCCACCACATGTGCCGTAAGTCCTCTTACCTACTATCAATAGTTTCTACCATGGTTAAGTGAAAATGGAGAATTACTTGCTAATTTTTTTTTTTTACAATTGTTTCTGTTTTGGTTGATTTATAATGGAGGATTACTTGCTTATATTTACTTTCTGTTTAGATGAATTGGTAATGGAGGTTTTCTTGAATTTAATTATTTTTGTCTTGGTTAATTGATAATGGAAGATGATTTTAGCTTCATTTATACTATAATAACTTAATGGTATAATTCTTAAGGTAAATATGTATTACGGGTAACAATATATGAATGGAGGGTTGTGATTATCTCAACTACAAGATTCGAATGCTGAAAATGGAGTTAGTATTAAGTTTGATTTTTTAAATTTAGATTGTTTATTTAGTTGAGTTGAGAGATGGAGGTAAACTACTCTAATATTGATGATTATCAAATTAAATAGATAAACTGTACATTAATTTGGGAAAGAAAGAGTTTAAATGGTAGCATTTTCCTGACGATTCCACCTTTTTGGCCTTCCTTAGGCGCAAACCTTTCAATTTCATGATATCCTTTTGAATTACTTTTATGATTTTTGATGAGTTATGAGGCTTGTATTCTTAGCAGGAACTGAATTTTAAAAGTATGATGGTAAAAAATTTAAATTTTTTAATTACAGATTTGATTATAGGAATAATATAGTTTTTAAGCTAGTTGTTGAGGTTTTGGTATAAATTAAAGTAGAATAAGATACCTAATCTGAACAACCTCTTGTTTACCATAATCAATCAAAACCTGTTTTCAACAAGCATCATATGGCATCACAAAGTGGAGGATTTTATGGCCCATATGATCTTGATGCAGATATCTATAAAGCCATAAAGGTGTGGACAACAAATTATTTGTCTCTGTTTCGTGGAAAAAAAATTTGACCCGCAGAAGTTGGATTATCTCGAACAAATTATCAACATCTTTCAAGTACCCTTGTCTTATTAAGCTAAGGTTCCTCTAATGAACGAGTCAGAGTAGTTAAAATACAGGCAGTATGATCTTTAGGAAGGCAGTATGATCTTTAGGAAGAATTCTCAATGATATTTAGGAAGAATTCTCAATGAACCTGGTCTTTTCTCCCTGGCATATATGCAGGAGATAGGCCAACTTGGAGGACTCCTTACCACCCTTGGAGGGTCAAGGTTTTAGCCCAAGGGTGTTCCAACCCTTATTCGCTGGGAGATGCTTCTGCTACGCGTTTGGAAGACCAGGAGGCTCACGTTGAATCCAATATTAGTGCCCTTCTCGGTGAGTCTAAAAGTGATCAAATGTACTTTGTTTAGTTGTAGTTGCAAATTTTTTTAAGCTAGTCTGAAATAATAAACATGCTTAGGTAATAGTTGTAGTCTTAAAAAAAACATAACTTATGTCTGGTTATTAGCTATTCTACTGAGTAATGTTGTTACTAGTTAATAAATGTTTAGAATTTCCATTTTATCCTACCTTTATACTGTATGTATTGATCATAAAATACTTGTTATTTATGAAAATCAAACTGTCTTTTGGGTAGCAACATTTTCTTCTACATTTACTTTTTGTGGGAGGTCGTATCTGTTTATATCTGGTTGTGTTGGTGTTTTATAGTGAGAAGAGAAACCATAGCTTGGAGTTTTTTTAGATTTGTCGCTGCTTTATATTGTTGCTGCTGTTATTTTATCGTTGTCTAGTAGCTGTAGTTCTGTTTGTCCCAAAAATTAAAGACCTGCAGTCGTTTTTAGCCTCTAGTCCCTTCATGAAAGTTATAGATCTCAAAGTGTTATCCAACCTAGGCTCAAGAATTTCTCAATTTGGAATTTTGTGCTAGGAGTTATACCTTCTGGAACTTTTCTGAGGTCTGCTGACTTGATTCTATCGCTGCGGGATTGTTATTTTTACTTGACGCTTGTGTGGGTTGTTGCGTTGAGTTGGGTGGGCTTGCTAAAATGAATACTCTAGCTTTTCTTATTTGTTTTAGTCTATTTTTCCTCTAGTTAATTATATATAACTGTAATTTAAAGAAGAACTATGGTTGTGTTCTTGCATTGAAATGCTTGATTTTGGTGCTTTACAGAATATGAAGTGACTTAACAGGGAAAGGATTCGTTAGTCGTTACATACACTGAGGCAATTTATCAGCAAGAGGTATAAAGAGTAAGAGGAATTTTTCAGTAAGAGGTCAAAAGAGCAAGAGGTGGCTCCTTACTTGGGTTCTTCACAGGTTATCAATCCCCAACAATAATTATTGTTTCATATAAATTCCCATTGTTAGAAAACGTTTCTGGTTGATTACTATTTTCTGATTATCACATATGCACACTCATATATATAAGCTCGCTATACTTTCCACAACTTCACAAGTAAACTAGTTCTTTATTGAACACACACTGACAAGGTAAAGGTAGTAATATAGTAGTTTTGCCATCATATCCTTATTAATTACTATTAAAATATTTATTGAACTAAATATTGACTATATGATTTGGTTGATGCAATACCATGTCCGCTATATGTATACATAATGTTCAAGTAAGAAGATTTTGAACTGATCCATGTAAGAGGGGATTAACCGTTTAAGTGCAACATATGCCCCCTATGGTTGCTCTGAAGCTAGTGCTATCTATTATATTTTACTACTGTTTTCTATTGAGTTGTGCGGTTTTCTGTCTTCTTTATATAGTTTTATCAAAAACTTTGTTTACTCAGACTTGGATATGAGTGTCTGGCCGTACTAAAGTTTCAGGTGTGAAACTACAACTTTCCCTCTCTTAATTATCCCCCTAGATTCCCTCTCTCAATTAAAAAGAAATGTATCTTATGCATCTGCTCATCGCAGTTTTCATGTGTTGTGATTCTTATTTCTTCAAACTGTTTATGTTCTTCTGTCATCCCAGGCTACACCCTAAACCACTAGTTCCTGCCAATGATCCAGAAATATCAAAGGGTGTATTGTGAATTCAAGCCCAACAGTGATTGCTCACAATGTGAACTTTGTTTTATGCCCCCTTGCAATCAGATTAAGGAGCAGCTAAATTGGAGATTAATAGAGGTTTTTTCGTGATGAAATGAGTAGATTTGTTCCACTACAACTAGTCACGAATGAAGTATAAGTTGGAAACATATCTTTTGTAATAGAGAACTCATTACTATGAGATATTGTACATGTACTATATTTTATATATTATATGCAATCAAAAAAATTTGGCCTAATTTTGTTGTGTATATATTGGTTATAATAGTTTCAGTTTGAAATATGTTTTTTCTTTTTTGGTAAATATAAAGAATATGGACTAGAAAAAGCATTTCCAGCAAAAAAAAAATGTATAGGAAAACAAGCGTCGCCAAATTACTCTGCATCATATATATTTAAATTATTGATACAAAAAAGCGTCGCCAATTTTAAGATTCTAAGACATAAAAAAGCATCACTAAAATTGAGAAATTGCGCCAAGTACTTCAAATTTCGACGCTTCGTATAAAAATTTAGACACTATAAAGCGTCGAGATTTGCAACGCTTTTTTATGACAACAAATTTTCTCGACTCACCTTTTCTCGACACGTTTTTGAAGCGTCGAAAATTAAATTTGCGACGATTTTAGCGTCGAAAAAACGCCCTAAAAGCGTCCAAAAAGGACGGATTTTCTAGTAGTTATACATCCGGAAATTTTAGGCGGAAGTTCCTAGGGACATCCGGATATTTTAGGCAGATGTCCCTGTTTATATATATATTTTTTAAAATGTTAAGTACGTTTTTTTTTAATGTTAATTAAGTTTGTTTTTTTTTTCCTGGTCTTGTGATTATTGTTGTGATTTAGTATTTGATAATTAATGTAATTTTTTTTATTAATATGATTATTAGTAATATGATTTTTTTTTGTTACATTATTATTATTATTATTTATATTATTATTATTATTGAAAATATTATTATTTTTATTATTATTATTATTATTATTATTATTATTATTATTATTATTATTATTATTTAGTAATTAATGTTATGGTATTATTGTTTTGTATTTTTTGTTATAATTGTTTATTATTATTTTTAATATTATTATTAATATTGTTATTGTTTTGTATTTGTTGTTATTATTATTATTATTATTAGTATTGTTATTATTATTATTATTATTAGTATTGTTATTATTATTATTATTACTATTATTATTATTATTATTATTATTATTATTATTATTATTATTATTATTATTATTATTATTATTATTATTATTATTATTATTTTGACAGAAACCATGTTTTGTTTAATTTGTATAGGATATGGAATCTGAGGAAGGCAGTGACGGTGTGAATTATAGTGGGAATTTTGTCATGGATACATTTTTTCCTACATTTGACGATGCGGTTACATGGGCTGATGGTGTTTCCATAAAATTGAGATTTATATTGGTGAAATCGTCTTATAACAAAACTAGAGATGGTCGGCCGTATCGGTATTTGCGATGTGATCGGTCACGAAGGAGCAAGCCGAAAGATTAGGAGTACGCAATACGGAAGGACACCAAAACCAAAGCTAATGGTTTTCCATTCTACATCAAGATATATTATGAAGTCAGCACCGACAGTTGGAAGATCATTGCGAAAAATGATCACACTGGGACACATAACCACCCAATGATTGTGTACCAAGAGGGTCACCGTAAAGTGAGCGGATTGAGTCCAGGTGCAAAACAGGTTGTGCGGGACATGACAAAGTCCAAGGTTGCTCCCCGTAACATCATGTCCACTATTGCCGAGCAATTTCCTAATGATCATCTAAACATCCGACACATTTACAATTGCCGAAATGACTTTAGGATGGAGATGTCCAAAGGAAGAGGAGTTGTTCAACAATTTCTTCATCTGGCGAGAGTTAGTAAATACATTTACTGGGTCACGAACGATGATCACAACATTTTGCAACATGCACTTATGGTGCACCCGATCATGGTCAACATACTCCGCACATACCCACATGTCATAGGTATGGATTCTACTTATAAGACCAATCGATATAACATGCCTTTCTTTGAGATAGTAGGTGTGACACCGACAAACCAGAATTTTCTAGTTGGATATGTTTTCATGCGCGACGAGTGCACGGCTAGCTATCGGTGGGTGTTGCAGAGATTAAGGGAGTTGATTGGGTTTGATAAAGAGCCATCTGTATTTATTTCAGACCGTGATCTTGGGCTATGTGCGGCTTTGAGAAAAGTCTTTCCAGGGACGTCACATTTACTCTGTCTATGGCACATCAATGGAGATGTGGAGGCTAAGGTGACGAAGATGTTCGAAAACAAGAAGGTTGGTGTCAGTTTTAGAGCTGGGAGATGGTTCAAAATCGTGAATGCAACAACACAGGCGGAGTATGATCATGCTCTAGCTGCCATGCAAGTGAGGTGGGGAAAATATCCGGCAGTGATTCAGTATGTTAAGAGAACATGGCTTTGTCATAAGGAGAAATTTGTGAAATTTTGGACGAACCAGGTTCTTCACTTTGGTAACACCACCAACTGCAGAGTTGAGAGCCAACATTCAGCAGTGAAAACTTGGTTTGAATCATCCACAGGTTAGTTGTATTATTTTATTAGTTGTTCTCGTTGTTACGTAATTGTAATTATAATAAAAAAATTAAAATGTATTTACTAATTAGAATCATTGGCAGGTTCTTTGGATACCGTATAGGCCCGAGTCCATTGTCATATCGGTAATCGCATCATACAAATTCGTAATGACTTGGAGGCATCAAGGTCTGAAATTGGTCAGATGTACAGACAGTTGCCACTGTCACGTATAAATGGCAAAGTGTCTCAACATTTCTTGAAAGAACTGGATAACGAGATGAAAAGGATGCGGGATTTGAGTTACCAGGTCCATGAATGGTGTGGATGTGCTATGCGTGTGACCCATGGTCTTCCATGTGCTTTCCAGATACATGATTCGATAGTTGCACAGACAGGATTGTATAGTAGCCAAATTCATTCTTTCTGGAAGACACTGGTTATTGGTGATGGTGTTAACATTCCTGAAGTGGTTAATGATTCGACCGAGGAGGCTGCACATTTTAGGTCCCTAATTGATGAAGTCATGGAAAGTGACCCGGCCATACGTCAAAATGTAATGCGAATCATCGAAGAGGAGCTACATCCAGATCACACATACCTTGAAGAACCACATATCAACCTCAACACTCGTGGTCGACCGAGGAAAAATGACACCAGGCGTGATTGTAGCTATTTCGAGCATGTGGACCGTCAACACACTCAACGTGGTGGTGACCCAGAACCAGGTAATATTAAAATTCTATATGTAATATTAAAATATGTAAACTTAATACTTGTAGCTTTACTAATAATTTATATTTTAATTTTCTGTTGTAGATCCAAGTGACATTAGTCAATGCAGGTATTTGAACTTGCTTCCAGGCCCAATGTTGCCGTACATTTCGTCTTGGAAGGATGTCATTGGTGATGGGAACTGTGGCTTTCGTTGTGTCGCCGACTTCTTCTTTGGCGATCAAAATTAGTGGTTTGACGCTCGGGAAACAATAGCGAACGAGATCGCTGGTCATCCTGATTTGTACGAACGGATTTACGGGCTTGGGCGACTTTGGATGAACGTAGAGCGTATTCGATGGGATGGTGGGGCTGTCGGGGAGCGGCATTGGATGGTTACAATTCAAGATTTATTTCCTATTGCTACGTGGTTCAACGCAAGGGTGATTTGTCTCGGGGTAGGCCTAGTACCAACTTGCTACTACCCATGCATCACAGTCTTACCGTTGAGGGCACGCAACGGGGTTCGGTCACCGACTCGAGAGTTTGTGATTGCTACAGTTAGTGGATCACATTTCATCCGTCTTGACCTTATACCTGATTCACCTCTCCCGCCGATCGCCGGTTGGTGGACGGAACACAACGAGGATAGTGTTAATGGATGGGATCAACAATATCAATTGAGAAGGGACATGTGGGATGCATTAGTTAGGTAGTTTGTAATGTACATTCACTAACTTTGAACATTTGTAAGAAAATTAGAATTATGAAATTAATTTTAAAAGTATTTGCTTTTAATCTAACATGATATGCAACAAAACATCAAATATAAAAATAAATAAGTGTCCAGTTTATACATTACATTTAAAAGAAAAAAAATAAGTTCATAACATAATTAAAACCACTAACACAACTTCTAATCAAAATAATCTAAAGTCCCATTTTTGACTTCCAATCAAATACAAGCTGCTCAGTCATTGTTCGAGTCTCACTCGACATTTCAGGATACTCAGCCAGTGCTCTTTGGTGAATCTCCATGGACCGACCCATCCACTGCAAATTAAACAATAACATATTATTAACACAAAATTCATCACAGTCATTGTTAATATAATAATAAGCATAAATACTTACATAATTAGTGTTAGTCCGCTCAGGCAGGTTGCTTGTAACTCCTGCACCTAAAGATACCCGCGGGTGAGAAAACCTGTACAACCACTGCATGTAACCAGGCGCAACCGAAGGAGCTGCAGCACTAAGCCTGGTGAGGGCACCTAAAACTACACTCTGAGATACCCCAGGGACAAACCTCTTCCACATCACATCTGTCATCTCGATCGGGAATTCTACCCGATACATCTTCAAGTTAGTCGTCCTCTTGGCCTTCTCTGGCCTGATGATCTCGCGGGGAATGCCTTGCACGAAACCAAACTGGCGCACCACTCTATCAGGCATGTACGGCTCAATGATGTTACAGTACTGGATGCAGCCAATGAATAAAGTGGGGGGCACTCGTAATGCTGAGGGTCTTGTTCTTCATCCCGGTCACCAGCATGACTAGCCGAACATTCGTCTTCCTCGTCAGATATGGGTGCTCCACTTGCAGAGTACAAGGGCCGACTACTACCAGAATGTTGGTCTCCCGACCAACCACTAGTAGACCCGTATTGCTGCTGCTCGGGCTGAAGTGGTGCTGAACGAGATGTCTGTCTCCTAACAGACGCATTCAGACGTCGTGATATTGCATGTCGAACACCAGAACCCTCGATCTACATAAAATAAGAAAAAAAATCCAATTTTAGTAATAATAATAATAATAATAATAATAATAATAAACAATAATCAAAACAACAACACCAACAATCATAATCGTAATAACAATAACAAAAAAAAAATTAAAATTAACAACAACAACAATAACCATAGAAGGCCTAGAATAATAACAACAACCACAACAAATAAAATTAACGACAACAACAATAACCATATTAACAATAACAACAACAACAACAACAACAACAACAACAACAACAATAACAACAACAACAAATTAACAACAACAACAATAACCATAATAACAATAATAATAACACTAATATCAACAACAATAATACTAATCATAATTAAAAATATTAATAATAGTACTACTAATAACAATAATAATAATATTATTATAACAACAACAACAGCAACAACAAAAAATAAATTAAACAACAACAATTACCATAAAAACCCTAATATCAACTTAGTTTAATAATAATACTAATCATATTTTTAAAAATAATAACACTACAAAATATGCTAACCATAATAATAACAATAATAATAATAATAATAATAATAATAATAATAATAATAATATCAACAATAATAATAACAATAGTAATAATAATAATACTAACCATAACACTTCAAAATAACAACAAAAATAACAAAATCCAAATAAAAAAATAAAAATAAATTAACAACAACAACAATAACCATAATAACAATAATAATAAAAACCCTAATATCAACAAAATAATAATACTTATCATATTTTTAAAAATAATAACACTACAAAATATACTAACCATAGTAATAACAACAATAATAATAATATCAACAATAATAATAACAATAATAATAATACTAACCATAACACTTCAAACTAACAACAAAAATAACAAAATCCAAAAAAAAAAAATTTTAAATTAACAATAAAAAATTACAAAACCATAATTTTAACGGGGAAAAAAAAAAATGGAACTTCCGCCCCAAAAATTCCGGAACTTCCAAGGAGGATCTGCCTGGTGTTTCCGGATCCTCCTTGGAACTTCCGGATTTTCTGGCCGGAAGTTCCACGATCCGTAATTAAAAAAAAAATTCATCTGCTCGCCTCCGTCGCCGCCACCTCCGCCGCTGCCTCCACCCCCGCCAAAGCTCCTCCCTTCGAATTTCAGCCTTATCCGCCTCGAATCACCCATTTTTTTGTGTTTTTGATGATTGTTGTTTTTTTTAAAAACGAAGAAAAAAATTTGGAAATTTTTTTTTTCTTCAGATTTTTAGAGTGTTTTAGAGAGTTAGAGAGTAAGAGAGTTAGAGAGAGAAGTAAGAAAGTGAGAAATGTTGGTCGGGAAGTGAAAAAAATCGTATTTAAATGTTAGGGGTAAAATTGGAATTTCAAGTCAAAAAGGGAGCGTTACTCAGTAAAATGGGAGTGACGAATAACAACACCCATTTTTTTTGATCTTACGTGAAAGAGGAGGAGAGGAGTAAGGGAATTAAGGTGGGTTTTTTTTGTGTTTTTATAAAAGTTGGGCCTAAATTCCTAACCCAAGTAGAATTAGGATTTGACTTTGGGCAAATTTGGGTTTGGGTAGGAAATCAACTTTGGGCTAAATATATTCAAGAAAATAAATTGTAATTAGACTAAACTTAATAGTTTAATAAAATCTTATTATTTTCCTCAAAATAATTCATACTTAGAAAATCAAAAATAGAAATATTTGTATAAATAATTATAAATAATAAATTAATACATTATAATTATATCGAAAAATGTGGGGGATTACAATCTAACCCTCTTAAAAGAAGTTTCGCCCTCGAAACTTAACCCAAAAACCATAATTTTCCAAAATCATTCAAACTTTTTGTATTTTGTATTGCTGTAAATTGCTTGATCCTCAACATGTATCCTCAACAAACTGAACTTTGTACTCAATAAACTCATATTTGGCCTAAGTTTACATACTTTTATTGTATGTAAACGCAATACTAATGCATAATAATAATCAAAAACATGCAAAATCAAGCAATAAATGGTATAATTGAGGTAAAAGCGCGAAATCACATCACATTCTACCCCCCCAAAAGAAAAGAGTTACACCCTCGTAACTCACCTCGTCAAATAACTCGGGATACTTGTTCCTCATCACTTCCTCGGCCTCCCAAGTAGCTTCTTTGTATTCCTAGTTAGACCAAAGGACCTTCACTGTCTTCACATCCTTGTTTCTAGTACTACGCACTTTGTGATCTAGTATCTTGACTGGTCTTTCTTCATAAGTTAGAGACTCATCTAGTTGAATAGTCTCCAGCTACAAAACATGGGTTTCACTAGGCATATACTTCTTTAACTGGGAAATGTGGAACACATCATGCATTTTCTCAAACTACATTGGCAAAGCCAATTTGTAAGCTGTAATACCCCTAATATAGCAGTGCTATATATATATATATATATATATATATATATATATATATATATATATATATATATATATATATATTTATTAAGAAAAGTTTGGTTTGTTTATTTTT